CTTCAGAATTTTATACAAGGGCCTTCAGAATTTTATGCAAGGCCTTCAGAATTTTACGTAAAGACTTCAGAATTTTATACAAGGGCAGTCGGAATTTTATGTATTAAAAGCCTTCAGGATTTTATACAGGACTGAGCCAACAGAAAACCACTGCGCAAAGAGGAGTACTTAGTGTAACCCTTGCAGTATGGCAAAATAGTTTTTGAAACCTTGATATACAAAAGAATGTTTTGTTGTTCATGCGGAACTGCTGTTTTACACGAAGCAAATTATTGTCACGAGTGTGGTTCAAGCATTATCAATCAAAGCGCCGAGGATATTGAAAACAATCTCCCAAATATTATCGAAGGCTATTTTAATAGAGGTTATCAGTATACCCCAATTCTTGGCCTGCTTGAAAAGTATCATGGCGTGAAGATCCATATACGTACACTTAAAAGAAAACTACGCAAGTACGGTTTAAGGCGAAGGGAAAGCAATTACGATGAAGCAACTGTTCGTGAGCTTATCACCAGAGAGATGCAGGATGCTGGAAAACTTGGAGGTTATCGATACATGTGGCATGCCTTACGATTGAGACATCATATTAGTGTCCCACGCAGAGTTGTTACCACTATTATGAAGGAAATTGACCCTGAGGGTGTCAGGGAACGAAGAGCTAGACGTAACTTCATATCGTTTGGACCTAATTTCACTTGGCATATAGATGGTAAGTGTTGCGTTTTCTTGGCATCGGCCATCGTGAAACATGTTCCTATGTTCAGTTAAAGTATGTACATTATATAGGTCTGCTTTGGTCCTACCACACCAAGGTGACAAGTTGCAATGATTGCACAACTGGTCCATGCGATTTGTTGCCTTCTGTGACCAAATTTGGCAAGCCCGGTGTTATCTAAGGCGCTTACGCAGCATTTTAGAGTTTATTTAGTTTGAATTGGGTGGTTGGAAAAACAATACGTAATAACTAATCCGACCCCCTAAAAGTGTCTAAATGTTTGGTCTCATGTTGTATTAAAATGACATTTCGCTTATACCACCCCCTCCCCCCAAGTTGCCTTTTCACTTCAAGGACAGTGAAAACAAAATTTTATTGTCTCATTTGAAAGAAAGTTTAAAGTAATCTATATATATAATCTTGTTACAGATTTTTCGGTATCAAGCTTAACTCTTTAACTCTTTGTTTAATTTTTTGACTGGAAGTTATGACCTGTCGATGACCATCTTCAATTAATTCTTAACGTCATTAACTATTGTTTTGATGGCATCTGGAGTGGGGTTAGGCGTAAAAAAAAAATACCTGTGGTTCCGGTTCCTGACCGACCCTAATTTTTTCTGCCGACCCTATTATTTTTTTAACACGATTGACCGTGCGACCCTATTTTCTCCAGGTGGTTGCGGGCTGCTCATACAGCGTGCCAAAATGGCGTCTGTTGTAACACTAATTATTGAACCAAATTGCCTAAATTCGTCCATAGGAAATACGCATCTCTAGTTAATATTGATGTTGGGTCAATACTGCAAATCGCCCAGCAAAAAACCGCCAAAACCATGAACAAAATATTAAAAAAAAAAAATTATTTCCGACCTACCGACCCTAATTTTTTCACGAAATGAAACCGGAACCACAGGTATTTTTTTTTACGCCTTAGCCTAATATATAAAATTACATCTCGTAAATTCAGTAACAATTAAAAGTTGTTTAATTGAAAATGCATGTTTTAATTAAATTTAAAATTTGAAATAGCAACCAAAAACATGTTTCAGGTTCATGTTGTTCACTGGCTGCCAAGATAAAAACACTTGTGTAACTTCATTTGTGATGTAATATGCATATCCTCAATAATCCCAGATTGCTTTCAGTAAAAATATTTCAACAATCATGCAAGATTAAAAAATTCGTAACAAGATATTTTGTAGATAATTTTAAACGTTCTTCAAATGAGACAATAATGTGATTGCCCTTTGATGTTATTTTATAGGTTATAACAAGCTGAAACCCTATGGTTTTCCTATTCGTGGGTGCATTTGCGGTTTTAGTAGGAGGATTATTTGGTTACAGCTTGTCAAGTCAAATAACAATCCCAAAGTTATTGCACAGTTGTACCTTGATACAGTTATGTCATTGAAAGGTTGTCCGCAGATTCTGCGGTCCGATTGTGGGACAGAAAATGTTATTGTTGCTGGAATGCAGGCATATTTTAGAGCTACTGGAAATGATGAATTTTCAGGTGCAAAATCTCACCAGTACGGATCGTCGCCTTCTAATCAACGAATTGAAGGTTGGTGGTCATTTTTCCGAAGGAGTAACTCTGGGTGGTGGATAAATCTGTTTAAAGACATGTGTGATTCTGGTGTTCTTGAATTAGGCAATGAGTTCCAAATGCATTGCTTGTGATTTCGTTACTCTAATTAAGCTTATTCAAGATGAGCTTGACAAGGTAAAAGATCAATGGAATAGCCATTATATAAGGAGGTCATGTCATGACACTGTACCTGGCGTTCCTGACATTCTGTATTACTTACCAGAGCAAAGTGGTGGTAGTCTTGATTGCCTTTTTCCTGTCTCACAAGGAAAAATAGCCGAAGTAGAAGAGCAATGCGAGCAAGATGCAATAAACAATCCATATCAAGAATATTTTGAGCATGTTTTGGAAATGCAAAACTTGGAATACCCTGCTAGTACTGACGATGCTTTTGAATTATTCCAACTCTTTAAAGACTTGCAGCATAATTAATAGATTTTTACATGGGATTTTGAGGAGACTGAATCGAAGTGTGACTGTGAATAGTCTTGAATTCTATATCTTATAAAAAAAGGCAAAACGGCCCTTTTGGAAGTCCCACATTTTTGTTTTCATAGTGTAACCTATAGCTGGAAATATAATTGGTTAACATGCATGTTAGTACCTGAAACTACAGGGTGTAGGAACTACCTGAGAAGTATGCAGTATGTACAAAAGAAACTTTAACCATGAAAAATTAAAGTATAGTATGGTTGTTAGAATCAAAATGAACACATTTTATTACTCAATAACAAACTGTTAACATCAACTATCACTAGAAAATGAACATTAAAATAAGGTTTACCATCCATGTTTTACTAGAATACAACAATAGATTTGTTACAACACATATCATTTTCCATTCTTTAAAAATCACAGGAATTAAAAGTTACAAAAAAAGCGATACGCAGTCAGGTTAAGGATATGCAGTCAGGTTATTTTTCATTTTTCAGAACATGGAGATAATTCCTCTTCTAATTAGCAAATTGCCTGCGGCAGTCTCTACACACAATTAGTCACAAAAACCTTATTTTAAAGTACACTTTCTAGTGCTCACCTTGTTTTATAAGGATATTATTATATAATTAATACATCCTTAAAGAATACGATGCACTTATAACTTTAACAAAACATTTTTGACCACCAGTCCTGCATGGAGTTGCACCATCATGCCTTGTGCCTTACCTTACTAAAATGTTTACAATAATTTTGACAGGAATGCAAATACAACCAATAAATAATATTAACAACTAAATATGGAATGTGGAGTATGTTACATAATTTATTATAATGAAATAATTCAATCATGGTTCATCAAAACCTTTAGTATTTAAAAGAGCGAAAGTAATAGCATCTTTAAATTCGTCATAGGTTGTGTGAACAGTTGGAAGAGACAATTTGCATGAACATGTATTTGCCTTCGGAAATTTAGACAACAAACCATTGCCTTCAGGCTTGTGTAAGAAAGCTAAAGACACGTCTAAACCAAGAGGAGGGACATCCTTGCATCCAGTGGAAAAAACATATCTCTAAAACTCATCAACAGTATGTTCCTCGACATCCTGGAGGTAGTCATTCCAGAAGGAAAGTATTAAAGACTCTTTGGCATGGGCATTTGATCCCAATTCACTTCGAGTAGTATTTGTAAACAGAGAAGAAAGAAGATCAACTGTCAATGGTTGAGGAACATAACAAAATGCAGGGCGAAATATATCAGGATTCTCAAAAACTGCTCCAAGCACACCAAGAACATTTAAACCATCTTTCAAACGTTCCAAAGATGAACAAACCCTTCCTAAAAGGAACCATCGAGCAGATTCATTTGCAATCATCTGAATGTCATCCAAAGATTTAACTTGCTTTAATGTACCAGCTAAATCGAGAACTGTCTGGAAAGAAGGTTGAGTAAGACAAGTCTGGGCATCAGGTACAGATTGACAATTGATCAATGCCAATAAATAATTCCTTAAATCAGGGTCATAAACATCACTTATATCTACAGAAGCAGAACGAACACCATGCACTAATGAATGATATAACCCTGGAGAAAAGCATCTGATGGCTGGACCACCATGTACTAGTGACATGGCTATAATTTGGCCTGCATAAAAGTAGTGATCGTTGAGGTGACATGTTGCATTGCAAGATAGGAACTTATTTTTTTCAGTTCCACAGAAAATTTGAGAATTGACAATCCATTCAAGAACAAGAGTAAAAAACTCCCTTTTAGGACCACCTTGATCCAGTGGTGTCCAGTGGCGTAGCTAGCGAAATTTGACTAGTCCTGCTATAAGACCCACCCATTCTAGGAGGGGTCCGGGGGTATGCTCCCCCGGGAAATTTTGAATTTTAGAAGTCTGGAATGGCCATTTCCTGCGATTTCACGGCGAAATACTCCAAAGGGAATATCAAAAAATTGTGTGATTAGCGGAAAATTTTTGATAATTTTTTTAGAAAAAAACATTTGCAACTTTTTGAAATCCATGCATTTTTTAATCATATTTCACTATATATTTTTCAACTTAACTGAAAATATAATGTCAAGTCACGAAAGAGGAAAATATCATGTATACCATACGCGTCTGTAATATGATATTTCACTTGATCAACAAATAATCCAACCTCACATGCCACTATTATACTGTTGAACACAGCGTTTTATACACTTATATTAAAAACGCTACGGCTAGCATTCATTAAAAATTCACTACGTTTGTTAGTAATGTGTTAAACTTTATATAATGGAGTGGTATCAACTACAGATCACTATGCCTGGCACTCTGAATGTAATTCAGTACGCTATGCATAACGTCTATGCGGCCAAATATCTACATAAACAGTGTGAATTGGTACAATATATCATTTTTAAAATTAAACTCCATATAAGTGCTCGTTTCAAAGGCACAAAGCAGATGAACTGGCAGTAAATATTACGTTCTTACTTTATATTAATACGACATTACGACGTACAGGCTTCACAAATGAAGTTTGTATTCCTCATTAATATTGTATTATAAAAATACACAATCCTCAGTCGAGTCTGTTCACATGCATTTCGTGAGCTAAAATATCTTAGCAGAAGCCAGAAATTATATCAAAATCACATTAGGCTTCCACACTCGTTGATTTCCATATTCATAACTTGAGTAATCTCGACAGAATTAGTAAAAAGTGGGTTTAGTCACGCGGAAAGCTCGCAAGTAAAGACAATACAAGGCCAAGTCCTGCCATTTCGAGAGAGCAGGACTTCGCATTTGTAAACAGTCGGTTTGAGCATGCGCAGACCTAATTTACTATGAAATATACTAGCAAGTCCTGCCATTTGAAAATGGCAGGACTGAAATAAGAGTCACATGTAAATCAATGTAGAGTTGCAGTTGCTAGGTAACAGACACGGCAAGCTATAAAATTGCGTAAATATAACAGAATGCGAAAAACTTTTTAAAAAATAATAACGAAAAAGACGAGAAAATGAGACAAAATAACAACATGATGATAAATTTTTAAAGCTTAAGGATAAATAAAGCAATGTTTTAGTAACGAAATTTTGGGAAATTTTTAGTCCTGCTGAGCAGGACCGCTAGCTACGCCACTGGTGGTGTCATCAAGTAACCAAGATGCATATATTGCATCTGTTGATGTACTTGCCTCTCCACCAGTCTCCTCTATCTCAATATGACTACAAAATAACAATAATAAGGCCTAGCAAAAAATCTTGCACTGCAGTTACTCCCTAGGGGTGGTAAGGTAAGGTAAATAATAGCTTTATTAGCATGACTATAAATGTACAGTATTGCTAAAGCGTATAAAAGTTATAACAATATATAGAGAACTATGGTAAACTAGGATTATACAATTTACAAATTAGTATATGACTGTGCAATAATACTTAATAGACTAACATAACATTAACGTTAATAAGAATAAGAAGAAAGAATGTAGACAAGTATAATATTTACAAATAAGGTGGTTATTACAACCTATGCTAACTAGCACTCCTGGTTTCAAGGTATTTTAAGCCTTTGTTCAAAACATGAATAAACAAATTTTGACAGTTTAGTTATGACTTCACTATCAGTTGACTTCATTAAGTCAGCTGATAGAGTTTGAGAGTTCAGTTTAATCTCGTTAGATGAGACATTTTCTAAAGAACTTCGGAGGTCTTCACGAGAATGCTCATAGGCTTTGCAAAAGAGTAGGAAATGGGTTTCGTTTTCCACCTCTCCTGAATTACAGATTTCACATAAGCGTTCTTCTCGGGGTGTATTTTGGTATCGCCCGATCTCAATTTGGAGGTTATGGCTGCTAACTCTAAAACGTGAAAGACATTTTCTCTTGTATGGGTCTTTTATAAGTATTAAGTATTTTTCGAGGTTGTGGTCCGTTTTGAATGTTGAATAGAAAGTTAATTTGGATGAATTTTCAAGTTTATGTTTCCAGAATGTCAAGTATTTTTCCTCAAGGGTTTTGGTAATAGCTTCAATATGTTCAGACGTTACGGCTTCCAGACTAGGGATTTCTTCATTTAGGTTTAAATTTTTGATTGTATCCATTGCATTTCCGTAAAAGGAAGTTTTCTGCCTAGAGTAGAGATCTTTCGAGATTAGAAATGCTTGCTTTGCAATGGCTGTTTCGGGAAGTGAGTTTAAGTGAGTGATGTATTTGAAGACCCTTTTGAATACATTGATAATAAGAGGGAGTTTTCCAAGCTCAGCTCTGGAAGCAATGTTACTTGCTTTCCTACTGACAGCGAGGTATATTTTACAGAACTTAAAATGGACTTTTTCAATTGGTAACTTGTCCCAATTGTTGAAATCGTTTTTCACGTATGTCCCCCATACTTCAGAGTTGTATAGTAGGATCGGGCTTATAATAGAATCAAATATTTTAATGGCATATTTGGGATTGAGGCGGCTGAAGTTGAGCTGTCTTCTTATACCATATAAAGCATGCAAGGCTTTCTCACTTAGTTGCTTTAGAGCTAAAGTGAAATTGCCATTGTGATTTAGTTTGACTCCTAGGTAACAGTATTCCTGTACAATTGCTATGTTCCGATTTCCAACATTAAACTTTGGGCTTGCCTTTCTTGTTTTTCGTTTTTCAATAATCATTATTTGTGTTTTCTTCAAATTTATCTCCATGAGCCATTTTTTACTCCAACTATGGAGATCGTCTAGAGATTTTTGTAGGCCGAATTTTGATCGAGATAATAAAATTAAGTCATCGGCATATAGAAGACAACTCAGTTTAGTTCCATTTGGTAGTATAAACGGATCAGCATCTGTAGTGTCAAATAATGTTGCCAATTCGTTTATGTAGATATTAAATAGAAGAGGGCTCAGAACACAGCCTTGACGCACTCCTGTGGAGTAAGAGAAAAATTCAGTTCGATTAGTTTTGTTTTCGTTTACGGCGCATTTAGAGTTTGAATATAAACTTTTAACAAGGTTGTAGAAGTTACCATCAATTTTGTTTTCAAGCAGTTTTAAAAAAAGGCCTTCATGCCAAACAGAGTCAAAAGCCTTTCTAAAATCAACAAAGCATGCATAGAGTTTTTCCTTTTTGTTCTCATTTATGTGTTTGTCTATTATTGTTTTAAGAGTGAAAATGTGATCGGCTGTTCTGTGGCCCGACTGAAATCCGATTTGGGATGGGTGAATTATGTTTCTATCAATGCTAAATTTACTTAACCGTTGATTTAAAATAATACAAAGGAATTTGCTGAGACAGCTAGTCACGCAAATTCCCCTGTAGTTATTGGGGTCAGTTTTATCTCCTGACTTAAAAATTGGTGTAATGAGACCTTCACACCATTGATCTGGGAAATGCCCTGTTTCTAAAATGAGGTTAAAAAGTTTTTGGTATAATTTAAGTAATATTTTGACACTACACTTTAGCATTTCGTTTTTTATCCTGTCAGAATAAGCAGATTTGTTGTTTTTTAATTTCTTTGCAGCACTTAAAACTTCTACTTCAGAAATCGGTTCATCAAGAAAATTATTTGGGATTTCTTCTTCAAGTTTTGTTAATTTTTGTAAAATATTATTCTGTTCTGTGTCTAACGTATGTTTTGCATGCAGGGATTCGAAATGAGTGAGCCAGCTGTTAGCCGAAACATCTGGTTTACTCATGGAAGGGTCCTCAAAGTCATCACTCATGTTCTTTAATAGTTTCCAGAAGGAATTTGGGTCATTTTCAGAAACTCTTTCTAGTCATATTTGGGTCATTTTCAGAAACTCTTTCTATTTTCAGAAACTCTTTCTTCATAAATATTACATCAGTTATACAGCTAGGTGTATAAAAAAACTGAACAGATTTGAAATTGTTCAAAACATGAATAAACAAATTTTGACAGTTTAGTTATGATTTCACTATCAGTTGACTTCATTAAGTCAGCTGATAGAGTTTGAGAGTTCAGTTTAATCTCGTTAGATGAGACATTCTCTAAAGAACTTCGGAGGTCTTCACGAGAATGCTCATAGGCTTTGCAAAAGAGTAGGAAATGGGTTTCGTTTTCCACCTCTCCTGAATTACAGATTTCACATAAGCGTTCTTCTCGGGGTGTATTTTGGTATCGCCCGATCTCAATTTGGAGGTTATGGCTGCTAACTCTAAAACGTGAAAGACATTTTCTCTTGTATGGGTCTTTTATAAGTATTAAGTATTTTTCGAAGTTGTGGTCCGTTTTGAATGTTGAATAGAAAGTTAATTTGGATGAATTTTCAAGTTTATGTTTCCAGAATGTCAAGTATTTTTCCTCAAGGGTTTTGGTAATAGCTTCAATATGTTCAGACGTTACGGCTTCCAGACTAGGGATTTCTTCATTTAGGTTTAAATTTTTGATTGTATCCATTGCATTTCCGTAAAAGGAAGTTTTCTGCCTAGAGTAGAGATCTTTCGAGATTAGAAATGCTTGCTTTGCAATGGCTGTTTCGGGAAGTGAGTTTACGTGAGTGATGTATTTGAAGACCCTTTTGAATACATTGATAATAAGAGGGAGTTTTCCAAGCTCAGCTCTGGAAGCAATGTTACTTGCTTTCCTACTGACAGCGAGGTATATTTTACAGAACTTAAGATGGACTTTTTCAATTGGTAACTTGTCCCAATTGTTGAAATCGTGTTTCACGTATGTCCCCCATACTTCAGAGTTGTATAGTAGGATCGGGCTTATAATAGAATCAAATATTTTAATGGCATATTTGGGATTGAGGCGGCTGAAGTTGAGCTGTCTTCTTATACCATATAAAGCATGCAAGGCTTTCTCACTTAGTTGCTTTAGAGCTAAAGTGAAATTGCCATTGTGATTTAGTTTGACTCCTAGGTAACAGTATTCCTGTACAATTGCTATGTTCCGATTTCCAACATTAAACTTTGGGCTTGCCTTTCTTGTTTTTCGTTTTTCAATAATCATTATTTGTGTTTTCTTCAAATTTATTTCCATGAGCCATTTTTTACTCCAACTATGGAGATCGTCTAGAGATTTTTGTAGGCCGAATTTTGATCGAGATAATAAAATTAAGTCATCGGCATATAGAAGACAACTCAGTTTAGTTCCATTTGGTAGTATAAACGGATCAGCATCTGTAGTGTCAAATAATGTTGCCAATTCGTTTATGTAGATATTAAATAGAAGAGGGCTCAGAACACAGCCTTGACGCACTCCTGTGGAGTAAGAGAAAAATTCAGTTCGATTAGTTTTGTTTTCGTTTACGGCGCATTTAGAGTTTGAATATAAACTTTTAACAAGGTTGTAGAAGTTACCATCAATTTTGTTTTCAAGCAGTTTTAAAAAAAGGCCTTCATGCCAAACAGAGTCAAAAGCCTTTCTAAAATCAACAAAGCATGCATAGAGTTTTTCCTTTTTGTTCTCATTTATGTGTTTGTCTATTATTGTTTTAAGAGTGAAAATGTGATCAGCTGTTCTGTGGCCCGACTGAAATCCGATTTGGGATGGGTGAATTATGTTTCTATCAATGCTAAATTTACTTAACCGTTGATTTAAAATAATACAAAGGAATTTGCTGAGACAGCTAGTCACGCAAATTCCCCTGTAGTTATTGGGGTCAGTTTTATCTCCTGACTTAAAAATTGGTGTAATGAGACCTTCACACCATTGATCTGGGAAATGCCCTGTTTCTAAAATGAGGTTAAAAAGTTTTTGGTATAATTTAAGTAATATTTTGACACTACACTTTAGCATTTCGTTTTTTATCCTGTCAGAATAAGCAGATTTGTTGTTTTTTAATTTCTTTGCAGCACTTAAAACTTCTACTTCAGAAATCGGTTCATCAAGAAAATTATTTGGGATTTCTTCTTCAAGTTTTGTTAATTTTTGTAAAATATTATTCTGTTCTGTGTCTAACGTATGTTTTGCATGCAGGGATTCGAAATGAGTGAGCCAGCTGTTAGCCGAAACATCTGGTTTACTCATGGAAGGGTCCTCAAAGTCATCACTCATGTTCTTTAATAGTTTCCAGAAGGAATTTGGGTCATTTTCAGAAACTCTTTCTAGTCATATTTGGGTCATTTTCAGAAACTCTTTCTATTTTCAGAAACTCTTTCTTCATAAATATTACATCAGTTATACAGCTAGGTGTATAAAAAAACTGAACAGATTTGAAATTGCTCTCCACTTCGCAAAACAGCTATTATAGTACCCAGTTTTTTATTATATATACTGTAGCTAATTCTTTGGGTACTTATAATGCAGAATAATAGAAAAAATTTCTCAAACTCAAATTTTATAAACCAGGGGGGTCTTTCTTTTCAACAAACTAAAAATGGCTTGCGCACAAGATTTAAAAGCTTTAATCGTATTGGGTCATTCCAGAAAAGATCCATACCACCTCCACAGAGGAAATAGGAAGTTAACCCCCCCCCTGGCCTACTCCCTTTGGATGTCCTAATACATTTACTATTATCAGAAACAATTTTTTCTCCCCTCCCCCTCCGGACTGCAGAAATTTCCTCCGTGGGGGAGTATGGATCTTTTCTGGAACGACCCATTTTGAAATTAAAATGTTTTGGGTGTTTAATTAACCCATTAAGCTGCAGAGCACTGGGGTGCATTGCAACTCAGTGGGTTATGCTGCATGGAATTTCAGACAATTTGATTTTTTAGTAAAAAAATGTAAGTTTGCATAAAAAGTTAAAGGTATTAACTATACATAAAAAAACAGTACTTCAAACGTAGTACTGATCTAACTTGCATTGAAGTAATACCTTGTAAAATATTTTGTATCCTTGTAAACCATTCACTTCCGACTTCGACAGATGGACATTCAAACAAAACGTTTCGATGTTGCCATTTATGATTGCCTTTCTTCACGATAATATGAAGGAAGAAAGATCTGTAATGATTGACTGGGTTTAACATGTTCAGTTCAATGTCGTGCGGGTGTTCACCAGTTGCTTGTTTCACATGTGGGACAATGGCCAGCACTCGTCTTAGCTTTAAAACATGGCAGTGGTGAGAATGGTCTAAAATGGAAAGCAGATGATAAATGCAAAGGTTGACAGGCAGTCCTTTTGCATAACAGAGATTGTTTCAGATTTAGCCTGCGTGTCAGGCTCTATGCTTGAATACAGCGTGCTACTGAAGTCAATGGATTTATGCGTACGAATCATACGCAAAATTCTCATTGGTCAGAAATAAATAGCCTTGCCTTATAATAAGGTAATATCAACTTGTTGTTTACATAATAGACAGATTTAGATCGAGGACGCGGACGTCAAAGACGACGTGAAAATGGCGTGACATATCCATACGTGGGCACAACATGCCATTTTCACATCGTCTTTGACGTCTGCGTCCTCGATCTAAATCTGTCTATTATGATATTCTGTACTTGTAATTGTACTTCTGGCTGCATAATTACTGCCTTTGCGGTCTATAAACATCGTCAATAACCGTTATTATTATTTAGTATGTATATAATTCCTGGCAAATATTTATTTTCGAGATATTGGTGCAAAAATTGTTAATCTAATTAACAATCGCTGTTTTGATTGGTTGTTATTTTCGTGCATCCAAATGACTGTCCACATTTCATCGACTTCAGTAGCAGGCTCTATTTCAAGCATAGAGCCAGACATGCACACAGGCTAGTTCAGATTTGACTTCCGCTATCCCTCACTGGCTTAGTGCGTATCTGATTGGTTAATCCATTAAGCTGCAGAGCTTCCCCATGCACAAGTAAAATTGTCAGGCGTTAGGGTGCAATTCCAGTCTTTGCACAAAGCTCCTCGCAGCTCCCTGCGAGTGCATGCATGAGCACTTTCATCCAATCACAATGCTTAAGAGTTAATTTTAATTAGATGCAAGCACTTGCAGCAAGCTGTGAGGAGCTCCGTGCGAAGACTGGAATTGCGCTTTTAGGCAAGTAAAAACAAAGTAGGGCGCACTGTAGACTTGCTCCAAGTCTCTCTTTTATTGTCATATAGTATTGATCCACTATAGTGTACATTACATGACGTAGTACGGAGGGGCGGAGCGAGAAAGAGAGACTTGTCAACTTCGGAAAATCTCGGTTCAAAACTGAACCGAAAATGCAAGACTTGCTTTAATTGTTTTCCTCCAACTTCTTTCTGTATTATTTACTATAATGGAACTCATGTTATTTACACTGTGCTAGATCAATACATATAAACACTGACAGAATACAATTAAAGCAAGTCTTGCATTTTCGGTCCAGTTTTGAACCGAGATTTTCTGAAATTGACAAGTCTCTCTTTCTCGTTCCGCCTCTCCGTGCTACGTCATGTAAAGTACACTATAGTGGATCGATACCATATGAAAATGAAAGAGAGACTTCGAGCAAGTCTAGGCGCACTGGGGCGCATTGCGGCCCAATGGGTTAACTAGAGACATTTTCAGATTTTTGGTCAACCCATTAGGCTGCAGAGGGCCATTCCATTTAGGCGTAGCAAAAAAATGTTGTGTTTCCGATAACGAACTTTTATTAAAATCAGGTCGGTAGGTCGGAAAATAATTTTATTTTGTTAATTTTTTTTATTTTTAAAATAAGATTATCAACTTATCAACATGCCAATACTATATGTCAATTCAACCCTACATTTAATTTGTGATGAATTTAAACAACATTTATGTGACTCATACTAATAGGAATATCTGTAATCAAGATCGCGTAGCAAGACACACAAAAAGAAATTAGTTTAATAACAGATTAAACTTTTTATTCCAAAAGTACTGTATTAAATAGCTCGACTGTATATAAATAACTTTTGTAGAGTCACATTACTTATAAAACGAACATGAAAAACAAATATCTATAAATAGAATCTTGTCATGTTATTTTACTTCGTTGATCCATATGGACGGTGACAAATAGGTTCTAGGCCATTTCCCCTGCAATCAATTGGTCCGTGGTGAGCGTTGAAAATTTCAAGGAACGTTCTTGTAATGTCAATATTCACCAACTTTTTTGTGCCACTTTTGTTGTGGTCACATTTTTCAATAGTTAGGCTCAACAATTTGGTTGTATTATTCCTGTGGATACTTGAACTATTTGCAGTAGAATTGCCTATGCTTTCCGCCATGCATAAACATAGCATAAACTATTAAAATCTTTACGTTTTGTGAACGCAACCGTTCGTGAAGCATGTGCAAACCCGGAAATGACCACCGGAAATAAATGTGTCAGAAATAAACTAGACGCCCTCTGCTAGACGGCGTGGATAATGACTTTACGGACAATTGAAATTACAGTATTACATGGGAATATGCTGGGAAATAAGTTAACAAGATAAGAGAGACTTTGTATTTAGTTCAGATTAAGTCTATTCTGGACTTTAAATATGAAAAAAATAGAAAAAATGTTTCAGGTCGGCGGAAAAATTTCAGGTCGGTCGGGTTACCGGAAACACAACATTTTTTTTGCTACGCCTATGTAAAGAAATGTGGAAAAGACATCTGTGGATAAGAATTGTACACGTTAGTAGTTTCATTTTGCTGAAAACACAATATTTTTTCAAAAATAATTACACGATAGGTTTACTAAAGCAAAATCTGCGCTAAAAACATCAATAAATATAATATTGGGGTAAAGGTGGTATATTGTGATTGTCATATCTTCTTAACGAGTTCGGTGACCCCGACTTTTTTGTGTGATTTTACTTTACTGCCTGGGAAGTTTCAGCACATTCTCATTTCGGGGACAATTACTGCGGAATTACCTTAAGTTGTGTTACAGCAGCACACTTTAAGGTGTGTTACTGTAGCACGCCTTAAGGGGTGTGCTACTGTAACACACCTTAAGGTGTGTTGTTTTCTGGTGTGTTGCTTTAGCACACCTTTTTTATTTGAGCTGTTCTTTTTTTCAAAATAAAACAACATGTTGTTTATGTTATAAAGCTACCTCTATCGTATTTTTTGTATCTTGTGCCCAGCATGCTTAGATGGCATGCATTTTTGGATTTCTGACAAAAATTTCGATCAAATTAGCACAAAATGAAATGGGATCAGGGATGGATTTACTAGGA